GTCAAGAAACTCTTGAGTGCAACAACAGTTCAGTATACTGTAGCTGTTACATTGCATTTAAAAGAGAAGAGAGGTAAGGGATGAGAGATCTGGGAGGAGTGGAGTGACATTACCATTTGTGAACAATGATGTAATTTAGGTGATTAAAATGACCAATGAGGTGTGATTTCAGCCACAAACCATAAAGATGCTACTGTATGTAGCAGGAATGCCTAAGCACCATTCCTCCTATCGCTAGCCAAACAAATACACTTTCACTTCAAACACTGTGTTCTTCGGAAATATTACCTTGACCTTGTGCCAGATAGGTGGTCATCAAATGAGGATGGATGTTCCTATAAAGTCTTTTATCTATTATTTTCATATATTTATTACGCACACATGATGTTGGAAATCTAATTTTCTCTCCATCCATCCATACTGAACAATTAACCTTTTATTGTTCATTTTATTAGGAAATCTGGGAAAGGACATTAGAATGAATGAAATCTCAATAAGATAAGTATGATCCTCTGGCTTGGGGTAAACGTCATGTTCAGTTCAAGAGTGATTTTCTCTGTGGCATTAAATCTTTTTAATCGCAATTGAATGTCAGCTGCGGCTGACTTAAAATGGCAAGTTAGAGAATCCTGGTCGGGCATTTCTATGGCGGCTATTTTTCAGGCTGAGGATAACTGTGTAGACCAGTGTTTCCCAACCCAGTCATCAGGGACCTCCAACCAGTCCATGTTTTTGCTCCCTTCCAGCCCCGGGTAGGAAGCAAAAACACGGGCTGTCTAGCAGGGAGCTCAGAGGGAGCAAAAATGTGGACTGGCTGGGGGTCCCTGATGACTGGGTTGGGAAACAATGCTGTTGACGTTTCAATCTGAATAAAAAGGGATTTATGCTGCCAATAAATGCGCGGCTCAGCCATCATACCCTTAGATACCCCTTGGATTTGTTATTCCATCATATTTACTGCAATTTGCTGGCCCGCTATACCGGCAAGCTTGAGGAGACGTGGGCCCGGCCATTGAGGACAGGCCTCAATCACGGAGGCAAAGGGGCTGTTTATGTGAAAGAACAAAGGTAGATAAACAAAGAAAAAGAAGTACAAGAAAAACACAGGGCTTTTCTATGGGACGCATGTGTGTGGACGCCGAGAACACTGTGGTTCCTTTTGTCTGTTGGGGTCAGCTGTGTTTCAGTAAACACAGAAATACATAGAAATCATTTCATCCCCCAGACAACCAGACAGTGGGTCTTTGTTTCTCATCCCAAGTGCCGGCAAGTGACAGCTGAAACGAAAGTGACTGTGATTCGCTCGCCGCTCGCATGACCTTCTATGACAATCAGTAATGGAGCTTCAGAGATTCAAGCCCACTTCTTTCTCCATCAATCATCCATAGGCCTGCTGGTCCCATACTCTGTTGTTTGTTTATTTCGGCTGACGTTATCAGAGTGATTTTGTTTGCCCTCAAGCAAAATTCATTTGCCATAATAATACACTAACACAAAACTCCAGTACATGCATTTATGTTTTATTAACTTGCCTCTTGGTTGCTCTTATCCAAAGAGCTAAATTGAATTGTTTTAGCAAATTAATTGAAAATAATCATCTTTTTTCTAGTTTGTCCTTTTGGTGGGACTACGGACTTTCCCACAAGCCACTAGGACACCGAGACCATTCCATCAAAACCACTATGACATTTCCAGTCCCTATTGGACCTTTTCCCTATGCATGATAAGAATCATGGTCAGGCTATTGGGGACATGGCCCCACTGCGTTTGTACACTCTGCCCAAGACAAGTGGGAAATGCATCTTCCTGTTACCGAGTAGCGAGGGCCCTGATTCAGGCGCGTAAAACATGTAGCGGAGGCGATGGATGGCTTGGGGGTGTGTTGGGTGTGGGAGGGCGGGATGTGGGGGTGGCGGGTGGGCACAGCGAGACAGATGGTCAGCCAGTGTGAAGGCAGTCACGGAAACATGCCTGCCACGGCCCACAGATAAACCCAAGCGCCGAGTAAGAACGCACCCAACGTCTTCATTTTCGCTCCCTTCCTCTCACTTAAGGTGATGTTCCCGATTTCGTAAGGTAGAGCACCGTACATCCTATAAATAAACAGTGGCCTACATAGTGACTGCCCCAGAGCAGAACTTTATGGCAGAATATGGCCATAAGCCTGGGTACTAAATGATGCATTAACAAATATTGCTATTATCTATTTTTCGCACAGGTTCCTTTCCAAGCTAAACAAAAGATTAGCGTCTTGAATTCACACAATAACTGGGAAAATTTTACAAGCCATTTTTATGGTCACTAAATGGAAACAATGGGAACAAATGAGGTACATTTAGATATTTAGGTATTTTTGTCTTTAATTGGTTATTTTCATTTAAGGCTCCTGGACAAAAGCTTCAGTCTGTTGCAAGTTTCAGATCCTAATTAAAACAGTCTAAATATATCTGATCGCCATGTCCTGGCAGACATCATTTCTTCATATAATGCTTCAAATCTGTGCATAACTAGAAGATATGAAATCAAGGCTATAAGCCCCAAAGGACATTCACTTTTAATGGCTTCACTTCCCCCCCCCCCCCGAAAAATCGTTTAGCTTTGGTACTGTAAAATGATCAGTATTATGAGCACATAGGCAATACAGCCAAAAACACAATTAAATACACATGGTCAAAGTGTATTTATAAAACATTTTTTCGGCATTCAGATATGGAAACTAGTAAAACAGACTTTTTTTTGCTAAGTCAACAATACACTATGTGTCAATAAAAGCCTTTACACTATGGGCTCAGACAAGGCAGATGACATCTGAGGATGTCGCAACAATTGTTCTACAGTTCTGCTCAAAAATCTAACCTCATCTCCTCCCCCAGTTCCACTCCTCACAATAATCAGATTGCTTTGTAGTATTCACCAGCCAAAACGCCCGATTTTCAGCCTGTTCGACTTGGACCGCTTTTTCGGTGCAGCCGTCGGGGAGCTGGAAGACACACCTCGATTCCGTTCTGTGTTTTGGGAAAATAGCCAATTCTATTCTGTCACCTGTTTTTGTAGTACTACAGGCACAAAGTGCATGTCATATTCCCCGAGGCTCAATAGGAGACCAGCCTCTGCTGGTCTGTACGCATTTCATAAACTCGGATGAATAATAATGTTACAGTTTTGGCCAGAGAGTTTTATTTTGAAACTGGATTTTTGTGTAATAATGCTGTGCGGCTCAGCCGTCTGTTGAAAAACACATAATCAATAAAATATTAAGAAATTTTAATAATTGCAATAAAAATCCTTTGGAATCGGTGGCATCAAGGACACTTTATCCGTCAGATTGTTCCAAGCTGGTGCAAAAATGTGAACATTTAAATGAGCCAATTAAGTTTGCTTTCATATTTATTTGTTTATCCATGAGGAATGAGGAAGAAGGGGTAACTGGGAGGAATCTCTCCCCCCCCACGCTGACACAAGAATCTGCTTAATTGGATGTTGTGTGCGTTTTTAGTTTGTTCTCTCACCGGGGAGTTCAGTTTCCTGGATTTTGAAGGCAGTACAAGGACCTGGTATAGCGTGTTTGTGTTGTGAGATGTATGTGTTATGTAATTAATTGGTAGATATAGAAAGATTATTAATCTTATTATTAAGCTTCTTATTCAATAGATGAGTGTTTCTCCATCCAGTCCTCGGGGATCCCAGGTGGTCCACATATTTGCTCCCTCCCAATTCCCTGAGAGTTGAGTACTCTGTGACTGTGACTCTTTATTCTCAACTGGTTGGTTGAAACAAAATCTTGGTCTGGATCTTTACTTCCTGGACCTGAACCACCCACCTCTGCTGGTGATCAGTCGACATTGATGCACATGGATACCCAAAACTAGGCTTGCATCTTTGCTGGATTTATTACATCATTACTTAAAGGTGAAATATTTGACTTATTTCTTAGCCACAATCACCAGCTAATTTCAGTATGTCAAAAGTACTTGGAACCATTATTGTCTGGTTGCTATTAATTGTTCCAAGGTATTTGTCATTGCCCGTGTCTGTCATTTCCTCTCTGTGCCATTGTCTGTAATTAGTCAGACACTGGGAATTTTCATTGATCTACTGATATATGCGAAACTGAGTTTTAAAAGTCAGTGAAAGTCGTCCAGGCTTTTTATCTCCTGGCTGATATTTCAGGTATCGGTGCCTCTTTGTTTGTCAGAATAAATAACAGAGTCTGATGACCTTGCTTCAAGAGAAGTGATCTGAAACAAAACCCCCATCCTAAACTGTGGATCTGCCTTGTCCTTCAGGGCCGCTATGAATTTTTGGGTTGTTGTGTGCTTTAGGGTCTGGGCACTACCACCTGGATCCATAGGTGGGGGGATTTTTTTTTGTTTTGCTCCTGACCTTTGCAGGACACGGCTTTGCTTTTTGGCACGAGAGCCAAATCCCTGCCGACGGATCGTCCATAGCAGCAGATGGGAAGTCGGCTTCAGATGGCTTGGGATCTGCAGCAGCTTCAAAAAAACTGTCCAAAAAAGCTTAACCGGAAGCTGACTCCAGTCCTTTTCAGTCGGCCAACTTCTTGATGCCACTGTGATGCAAAGGCACCTGCCAATAATAAATTTTTAGGTCAGTCGTGCTTAAGACTGTAGTCCAACGTGCTGCTCCGTACACCTGAGATTTGCTGAATAGGCCATTGATTTTCGCGGCAGTGAAAATAGAACATAATACTGATGGGTATCAGGGGAGGCCCATGGAGAAATGAGAGTAGAAAATAGTGACTTGACTCAGACCATGTTTGATCTCAACAATAGATTAAGGGGTCCCAGGATTCATAGTACAGCTCTGGAGAGGTTATTTGCCAAGTTTAAATGATAACTACCACAGGAACCTGCCCAGACTTTTCAGAGGCCTCACAAGGGGGCGTAGGCTGAATCTGACTCTTCATTATATGCTAAGAGAAGATTCTTCATGTTCAGCACATCTCACACTCCAGCTTTATTGTGCCATTCCCCACGCAGTGATGGATGGGCGGATCGGGATGAGGTTGTGGAGGGTTACGAACAGGAAGCGGTGGGCGGCATCACCATGAAGTTGCAGTCCGCTGAGGTCACCTCCTTCGACGACTACTTCCTGAAGCTACGTCTGGACACCAACACGCGGAACCCCTGGTTCGCCGAGTTCTGGCAGCACCGTTTCCAGTGCCGGATTCCTGGTCACCCGCAGGAGAATACAAACTACCATAAGAACTGCTCAGGTAAAAAAAATAGTCAAACATCCGTGATCGTCAGGTCATATCGGTATTTATGATACTTAGGTTATTGTTAGCTGGTGTGTAAGCAAAGTCAGTCTTAAAATGTCTCATTTTTACACAATATGAAGTGTATTGTAGACATTATGAACAGTTATGGGGTAATAATACATTCGTATTATAAAAATTTCAATGTTTTGTGTCTTTATGTGTAATTGTGAACAGTGGCTGTCCTTGTGTACGTAATGTTTCTTTTTGTAACGTTGTAATACTTTTGTTGTTCTTCCCTCACCTAACCTTTCCGCTGACAAAGCCGATCTAGGTAAATTAGACGCTTCTCATAGAGCTCTCATGATTTAGATGTCACCGTTCACTGGTCCCCCGCTCAGCAGGACCACATCCAAAGCACGCTGGCTGAAGTTCATCAGAACTTGAAACATTGCTCGGCAAAGCAAGTTTCTAATAAGGCACCCCTAAGTGTGCATTTTTTTGCAATTCTCATAATCAACAGGGAAATGTGGGAAATGTTTCACTCTTTCAAAACTCTATAAAGTCACCATTTTCACATTTTTGTTCCCCCCCCCTTCAGAAAATCTATTTATTGCATATAGAAGAAACCCATTTTGGACAAAGTGCATCCAGTGAAGTTTGTTAAATTACATGCATCTCATACATTTTCATTGTAGCGTTTACTGTTTCCTTTAAGCAAAGTTTTGATTAGTTCAGTTGGTTGGTTTTGCAATCTCAGTATACTACTTGCATATGTTAGTTCGCCCTGCATCCACTGTTTGACATTTTGACAAAATGCTGTGATAGAGAAATGTACCAATATGGTTATAGTCTGCTGTTGTGTCATTTTTGCTGTTTCTTTGCATAGAGCTCCAAGATGGTAAGTGTATATTTAATAACGAATTTCAGCCACTATAAGTCAGTTAACGTTACTTTGACACAGAAATGGAGGTCAACTGGTATAGAATGCTCTTGGCCAATCAAGAGGGTTTTTTGGCAATTATGAGCAACGCTACAAAAAAGATGCAATTAACTCAGAGATAACTGGGATTCCCAGCAATTCAGCTGTGCCCATGCGTGACCATTCAAGCATGCTCTCCACGTTAATTGGTAAAGTCAGATTTTAACCATGAGACCTGCTTTCCCCATGCACAATAAATATCGAGAGTTCTTTGGAAAAAATGTTGAGAGAAAACCACACCATCTCCATCAGCCTGTTTTTTTTTTTTCTCAGAATGCACTTTATAGGGGATTCACTTTGAAATCTCCTTAACGCTTCCATAGTAGCATTCAAAAGAACCGTCGTTTCTGATTGGCTGATTACCAATGAAACCGGTTACCTGAGGTAATTACCAACGAGGACACAAATGAGCAAATAAAGACAACAGAATGTAATTGGGTACATGAAACGTGACGCTTGGAGCATTTATCTTTTGACCTCTGAAGTTTCGAGAGCTATTGGGTTATTTAATGCACCGAAAAGGAAAGCAAGACAAGGACGGAAGTACTTTGGCTACCACGCTTTTCAATACTGCCACACTGCTTCGACATGTATATTTTCATGCCGTTGTAGTAAAATACCCCAATAACATGTCTCAGGTGAGAGATGCTCTGCTGCCTTTCCTGCATGCCCCCCCCCCCCCCCCCCCCCCCCCCCCCCACCAGGGCTGATGCCAATGTGCCGGCCTCTTCACAGATCTGCACATTGACCAATCAGTGACGAGAGATTTGGAGTCCCTCCGACGTACCAAACGCTGGAATAGGGCTACACGATAGCCACCTAGCACCTCACCTTACGGATACAAATGCGCACAGAGGACCGTATTTGAATTGTCAACAGTTAGAGCCACTACCACACTAAAACCCCAGCCACCCTAGCAGCAGTGATCCTCCTTTATTTAACCAATCGCGGTTGAGCTACGTCGCTAACCAGGGGCCGAGGAAGCCTTAGCAGACAGCAGGAATGTCTTAGGCACATCTTTAAATCTTTTTGAGTTTCAAGTTGTAACCGTACCGGTAAAACTTGGGGAAACTGGATACAATTTATACCAGATTTGCATTTTGAATTCTGTGTATTGCTCCAATAATCTTCAGTATATAATCCAGCATTTATAACCTACCAGCATAAACCCTTTAAGTCCTTTTGCTGTGGTATATAGAAAACTCTATATAATCAAGTCTTTTTTAATGTGTTTCTCAGACGTGTTAATTGCTTTTTACACACCTCTGTTTATTTGTCCTGTAATGAAAACAATTGTTTTCACACATCTGGAACCCACTGTTCTGGATAGTTTTTTTTTCTTCCGTTTATCAATGATTGTTAACAGATGATGGCACTTTCAATGAAGCATTTCAGTGGCATGAATTAAATGACAGATGCTATTTTCACTAACGCAAAACACATACAGACTGAAAAACATTCTACTTGTTTAGTGACAAAACTTACCTACGATTATACCGCTGGTCATATATAACGTCTTATAATTGCTGTACATTTCTAATAAATATATACAGACTAATGGTAAAACCAGGACATGAATTTTACGCATATATATTTATACTTTTATATACAATTTTATAATTTTTTTTATATTCCACTAACAACAAATTACAAGCTAAGGATGGAGCACATATGTAGATTTTCATACCTGCCTTAGCTTTCACATACTTAAGTATTTAGCAGACATTTTGTATTCAAAGCGACATGCATTTTTGCATGTCCATGGTGTGATTGGGGTTAAGGGTTCTGCCGAAGGGGAGGGCTGACATCATGGGGGCATTCGCAGGCCATGCCCCCCCCTCAAATGTCAAGGCAAGGACACCATCTTTTATTTTATTGTTATTGTTTAATAAAGGTTTTCACCCTAAAACAAATAAGCCTGCCCTGTGCCGGGGGCTTGGCTACGGATCACCCCCAACACGCCCCCCCCTGAAAATCTTTTTTTGGCTGAAACAATAAATCAGTATAGTTAGATACACACTGTCCTCACAACCTGGACACCTCTTTGTGACACATAACACCCGTGCTTTACTGTTGCTGTGCATTTATTTGGGTTTCAGTGCTCGCATGGTTTATAACTATTAAAAACGATTCTTGAATATATAATTAAATACTGTACATATGTGTATAAATGTGATATATGCATATTTTATTTTGTTTAAAAGTGAACAGTAATGCACAATTATTTTTTTCTGCATGATGAATTTCAGTATCGTTCATTTTTTAGGACATTACAAACTAAATAACCAATTTCCAAATAGAAATGTAACATTATCAGGGATTTCATGAATATCAAGCACATGTCTGTAATAAAAATGATTCCAGTAACTATTGTTCATGTTACTCTGCCTTCTGTAAATCAATCAATTAAAACCGAATTAAGCTCTCAATAAACTGCTGAGCTGATGCCTTTTATCAAAGGCAACTTACATTTTTTAATCCATTTATATAGCTGGATATATTTATGGCACAAATTCAGGTTAAGTCCATTGCTCATTGCAGCATAGCAGATCCCCTCAAGGGGTTTGAACCAGCAAGCTTGAGGTTGTGAGTCAATGTCCCTCACCACTGCAACACCGAAATATGCATAATGATCTTCATAGCAGATGCAATTCCATCCTGTTAGCAAGGAGTAACGAGGCAGTTCGTCTCTTTAATTAATTATGATAATTTTTTATTCTTCGTAAATTCCTCATTGTTCAAGATGTGACAAGGCTATCAGTCGGATGGCAATTTTAAAATACCGTATCAAGGACTATTTAGAGGAGATGTGTTTTACGAAGTATCTCAGCTGTTGACTGAAGTTATATCCTGCTAAATGAGAGTCCTCTATCGTAATTACTCAAAAGCGAGTCATAGTGCTTGACCGAGCTTCTTGCTAGCTTATAGGTGATAGCAATGAATTTTGAACTAGACTCCCCTGTGGAAGAAAAATATTGTGCTTCCTCATTACTAATACGTAACCCATTCTTAATGACAGACATGTAGTTTATTCTGTGGTATTTTTATGGGAAATCTTGCTGGTATTATTACTATTAAGATAACTAGATTACTAGTTAATGAGTATAATCAATAAGAGGATCTATCTAGAGAGAGATTTTGTAAAAAATAACTAGTTAGCTTGTTGTATAGCTAATGATAAATCTCAAAAGGTTGCCTTATTATTCCAGTAATCTCTTAACCTGACAATTACAATCTTTCTGAATGAAGGAAAATATTGCAAAACGAATCTTACTTATGCATGCAAACTGACAAGACCCTTCCTGATACATGGTAAACATGGTAAAACACCGACAACGTGTACATAGTCAGACCTTTCTTTAAGTCAAGATGTATTATTTAATTACGGTGTGAAATTAACAGTTCTAAATTCATTGCCTATCACCTGTAATTGGCAAATTAGTCAATTGCTTCTTTAATGATAGAGTGTCCAGTGACAGGTTTTTACTGTGAAATGTTTTTCTGATAATAATCACAAACACCCATTAGTAAGTGAACCAGCCAACATGACATGTCTCTAGCTAAGGGCTAAGTCAGGCATCAGGAAAGACATAGATTGTTTGTTGTATATGAAAAAAAATCCTGTTGTGGTCTGTTCGCCCTTTCATGTTCATATCCACAGAGGCAGAAAACAGTTCTGCCTGTTGCCAATGGCAATGGTATAAAGCTCTCTGGACACCCTATCGTTACCTTCATGATGTGCAGATTATATTGTGCTGCAATAGCAATAGAGGCTTGCACTGCCTCAATGGCCTTTGCCTCTTATATAAATAGAATATACAGCAGTCACAGATTTCAGGGGCATCTGAGTTTTTATTTAGCTTGTTTTCTTCACTATGACAATTAGCTACTGTACGTCTTTATTCTGAACAAGAAGCTGAAAGGTACCATCGTATCACATGGCAACGGTGCTGCGGAAAATTTTCCGCCTCATGTTGTAGGAGAGGACTCATTATCATGGAGACAAATAACAGCAGCATAATATAATTTTTGCTATGACTCCAGCAGCACACACGATATTTTGCATACGGTCTTGCCAATAAAGTCACATTTAGGCGCGTCATGGAGTCATTTTGCATTGAACGAACTGCCTTATTTTTTGATGTACTTGCAGGTTATGAAAGCCTGGAGGACAACTACGTGCAGGACAGCAAGATGGGCTTCGTCATCAACGCCATCTACGCTATGGCCCACGGCCTGCACGACATGCACCGTGCCCTCTGCCCGGACCACGTGGGTCTCTGTGAGGCCATGGATCCCATCGACGGAAGCAAGCTGCTGGACTTCCTGCTGAAAACCTCTTTCACGGGCGTGTCCGGGGAGGAAGTGTGGTTCGATGAGAACGGCGACACGCCTGGACGGTAGCTGCTCTAATCGCACACTGTATTATCTTTCTTTTTGCTTGTTTGTTAAAACCAGTTCTGCAAATGGTTCTGCTTAAATCAATTTGCATATTGCATATTGGTTTATATTTTTATTGACTGTTTCAGTTGAGATTATATTCAGGGTAAAATTCAAAGGGTAAAAGAACAAACAGTTCACCTCTATCATGTTAAGCAGTTCTAGTCATTGACTGCTAAGCAGGTTGTCACTACTCAGAAAAGTAATCTGTTATAAAAATGACAAAATCCAGCCATTGCTTAATTAATTAATTAATTATAAACCAAAAGTTTATGCAAATGTTAATATGCATTTAACATTTGCATATGGCAATATTCAAATAAAAATATAGTCTCAATATCATTTTAGAACATAATGAAAAGATATGAGATTAAAATCTAAGAAAGACCTTTTCAGTAGATAAACTTAAATAAATCACGCTTATGCACACATACAGTATGCAACATTGGTGCTTTACTGCCCATCCTGATATGATGTAAGTGTTTATGTTTGAATGCATCATGCAGGATCACTGTTATCACTCAGTGCTGCCTTTTTTCTTTATTCTCCTTCTACACACTCTCCTCCTCCACAGACACAACCAATCCAACACCCATCACTCCCCCAACATGATTGCAGCACAATCGCTAACTCATTGCATCACCACAGAACCACGCTAGTTCAATGCATTACCACAGAACAACGCTAATTCATTGCATCACCACAGGATGCTAATTCAATGCATCACCACAGAACCACGCTAGTTCAATACATTAACACAGAACAACGCTAATTCATTGCATCACCACAGGACGCTAATTCAATGCATCACCACAGAACCACGCTAGTTCAATACATTAACACAGAACAACGCTAATTCATTGCATCACCACAGAACCACGCTAGTTCAATACATTAACACAGAACGACGCTAACTCGATGCATCACCACAGGACGCTAATCCAATGCATCACCACAGAACAACGCTAATTCAATGTGTCACCACAGAACAACACTAGCTTGATACATCACCACAGAACAACACAAATTCAATGCATCACCACAGATGAACGCTAACTCAATGCATCGCTGTAGATCAATGCTTCTCCGAGAACCCGGGGTGTAAACATAACAGTGAGGTCTTCATTTGCCCTCCAGATACGACATCATGAACCTGCAGTTTGTGGAATCCGGGCAGTACGACTACATCAATGTGGGCTCCTGGCATGAGGGCATCCTCAATATCGACGACTACAAGATCCTGATGAACCGCACTGAGATGGTTCGCTCTGTGTGCAGCGAGCCCTGCTCCAAGGGCCAGATCAAGGTGGGCCCAGATACATCTCCTTGCTGCCTTCCAGACATCGAACATTTCTTATTTCAGACAATTCCTGTAGAATCCCCCGGACTTGGGACGTCATGTTCTGCTAAATATTCACATGCCATCTTGTACTCAGAAATGTTGTCAAAGCCGGAAACTTAAACGCACAAGCCTAAATCGGTTACCAAACAAATGAAGCTGCTTCTTTAGTTTCTGAGAAACCTGTTGATTACTTTCAATTAAGAAAACAAGCGTAGTGTATATGAGAAAAAGTTATGAATAAATGCTTGAATTAAATGTTACTCTAGTCACTGACATGAGGCATAGTGATTTTACAGCCAGGACTGCAGTTCAACAGTTTCTCAGAGATTCAGTCCTGCCAGCATAATGCTTCACCTAAATCATCCCAGTCATAATGTCATACTGTACAATTTTTTTTAACACTTTACGGAAAGTACTATGAAGCTCCCATCTATAATGCAATATAGTTACCTTCATAATGCATTATAATGCTCAGTAGAAGGCATTATAATGAACTATGAAGGCATGTACAGTATAGTGCATTATAGATGAGAGCTTTATAGAGCATTATGAAGGTAACTATAAAGCATTATGTAAAGTGTTACCCAAATGTTTATTGAAAATAAGATAAATATGGAAGTAACTGTCAGTTCTCAAATGGTGTCTATAATTAAGAAACAGATCTGGATTTAAGAACTGGATTTAAGAACTGGATTTAAGAACTGGATTTAAGGGGTGAAGATCTAGGGCCAGAAACCCAAAGGGTCCAATTTCTCGCCTCACTCTGAATCGATTTTCGGGTGAGAAGGGGCTTTGGGAAGCTGGGGAGGCATCTCATTTTCATCCCTTTGTGTGCTTCTGCTGTAGGTGATCAGGAAAGGAGAAGTCAGCTGCTGCTGGATCTGCACCTCCTGCAAGGACAACGAGTACGTCCAGGATGAATTCACCTGCAAGGCGTGCGAGCTGGGCTGGTGGCCGGATGAGGAGCTCGAAGGTAAGACAGCTACCGTCCAGCTCCGACGTTCGATCCCCGGCACTGTTAGCTAGTTGCCACAGTTACGACACCTTCACAGGAGATCAGAAACCACTGGAGGCTACTTATGGAACAGGTGCTGGCAATCTCAGTGGTCTAGGCTGCAGGTTTATCTCCTGTGGTCATGGAACCATGGTACAGTGCGTCAACACTGTCTCACCTTCAAAGAGGTTGACGCACTTCAGTTGTGATTATGTGCCTGGTCTGGTTTTGTGAAAGAGAGAATTCCAAACTGAGGAAGTGGTCTACAAAGATGTTCCTTCAGCTCACGTAGCTCGGCCTCGCTGTCTTATTTTTCCATGAAATAGTGCGCCGCAAGATAATCCATCATATCTACATATTGTCCTCTTTCTAAGGCTCCTTAGAGACCCCGTTTTAAACATCTGTTCCAGATGTTTCCGGCATAACAAGAGTTAAGCTGACATCCTACCGAATCAGTTCAGCAGTAAATAATTGTGTAAGAGCGTTGTTTTGTGATATCTAGCAAAATAATTAACTGATTAACTGCTTGGGCACCCTAAAGCAGATGCCCTAAATAATCATAAAAAATACGGTGACAAGACAAAATGCATTTGTTCCGAAAGAATGAACAAGGATACACTGATTTTCTGAAAACTCATATGAAGAAGAAATATGGTATCTGAATTGTGATAACTGGAATTAAATATACTTGTTTTGCAATTAGTAAATAAAATTAATGGAAATATGAACCGATGTTTAATGTATTACAGCCAACAGCAGCTAAATTTATTAATCCTGCTGGCAGGAATGTGCAATTAAGTCTCAAGGTATAATCCCCAATGTCACTTTTTATAACATGGATGGGATGAGGCCCTCTGACCTGTAACCTGTTAATCACATCAGCAAGAATGAATCTGCTCCGAAAGGCCGCTGGTTATGGATGATGGAAGCATTGAATTGGCAACTAACAAAAGGTGCCAGGTGGCCTGAAATTAGGGTGGTTCTGAGGGACAATAATCTGCATGAGGGATGACAAAAATATTCGAGAGAAATCAGGGTCCACCGCAGTAAGAAAGACATGGCGGAAAAGGACTCGTTTAAGGCTCTCGGACATTGTGAGATTTTTCTTGTCGGCGCATTCTTTCTGGAGTCGCCGGGTTTATGTGCATCATTGTCGTTGCTGCAGTTTTGCTGCCTGCATTGTCTTTGGACTGTCCCTGAACGGGGAGGAGTTTATTTTTAGTTGGACTGAAAACCTACTTTAGCACGTGGTAAATTTTCAAAGCCGGAGCTGAGGTGCCAGGTTCAGATGGCTTATCTGGGACATGGGAGGTGATCCAAACTGATGCCATGGTGTTTTTTTATGGGTATGATCACGCTTAATCCAATCTCTAACTGTAACATCTTAGGTCTTAGCAAAGCGTAAAGAGGTTTTTTTAAATTTGTTCATTTTTCTCCTTACCTGTTCAGGATTCTTATACCTAAATTTAATTTGTATACGGTCAAAACTTGCATATAAATGCAATAATATATTTGAGGAAATAAGACTAGATTTCAGGGTTCACATATGCTCTCACTAGGTAATATTTCTCACTGTTTTCTTACTACAACGTTTATTTATCTATTGATTTATTGATTTATTTTGTTCACTAGCACTTTGCCAGTCTGGATTATGGATTTCTGGAGGAGTGTCATCCAAATGGCATAAATACTACACACTCAGCCCATTTTTATGCTTAGATGTCTGAAGCAGTTAATTACCTTGTCACTGATCTGATTCTGCCATTTTAATCAACAGCTTTTCGGTCATAGGTCCAGGGCATTAATTACAACCTCAGCTGCAATCATGGCACCTTACTTTTCACAAGAAACTGCAGGGGATTTCAAGAGAACGTTAATTATACCAGTGTAACTGACGTGCAAATATCAAAACCCCTTTTATGTGTAGCTCCTAAGAAAATGTAAATGTCCTGGGCATGAAGTAAAGTGTCACACATGGGTTTTACAATATGATTATTGTGTTCTCCTTGCAGGATGCCAGCCAATCCCTCTGAGATACCTTCAGTGGAGCAACGCTGAGTCCATAGTTGCCGTGGTGTTTTCCTGCCTTGGCATTCTCGTCACCATGTTCGTGACGTTCATCTTCGTGCTGTACCGGGACACCCCCGTGGTGAAGTCCTCCAGCCGTGAGCTCTGCTATATCATCCTAGCGGGCATCTTCCTGGGCTACATCTGCCCGTTTACCCTCATCGCCCGGCCCACGGTGGCCTCCTGCTACTTGCAGCGTCTTCTGGTGGGACTCTCTTCCGCCATGTGCTACTCCGCCCTGGTGACCAAGACCAACCGCATCGCCCGCATCCTGGCGGGCAGCAAGAAGAAGATCTGCACGCGCAAGCCGCGCTTCATGAGCGCCTGGGCCCAAGTGGTCATCGCCTTCGTCCTCATCAGCATCCAGCTCACCTTGGAGGTCACGCTTCTCATCCTGGAGCCACCGGAGCCCATCAAGTCCTACCCTAGCATCAGGGAGGTCTTCCTCATATGCAACACCAGCAACATGGGCATGGTGGCGCCATTGGGCTACAACGGCCTGCTGATCATGAGCTGCACGTACTACGCCTTCAAGACGCGCAACGTGCCGGCCAACTTCAACGAGGCCAAGTACATCGCCTTCACCATGTACACCACCTGCATCATTTGGTTGGCCTTCGTGCCCATCTACTTCGGCAGCAACTACAAGATCATCACCACCTCCTTCTCCGTCAGCCTGAGTGTGACTGTGGCGCTGGGCTGCATGTTCACGCCCAAGATGTACATTATCATCGCCAAGCCCGAGCGAAACGTGCGCAGTGCCTTCACCACCTCAGACGTTGTGCGCATGCACGTGGGAGACGGCAAGGCCAACTGTAGGAACAGTAGCTTGCTTAACATGTTCAGGAGGAAGAAGAATGCCCCAGGTAGTGCCAAGTAAGTTGATCTGATTCATAAAGGGTCACAGAATACCTCTGTGGTCTACGACTGACCTCAGTATCTCAGCTGAGCTGAGTATCTGAGAGTCTCATTGTCACAAAATAGCCTCAAACATGCATCGTGGTTACACAGGCACCAATAAGGCAATGAAGACAAATTGTGCAACACATTGTGTGTGATGATTGTAAACTGACAGATGGCAGGCAAATGATGCAAACAACATACTCTGTGTGGCTACACTATGTGTAGTTTTCACTGTGTATAAGTTTCAGGGCTGCAGTCTTCAGCTAATTTTTAATGAAGTAAAACCATGATGCTTTTGAGTTCAGCAGTAATAGCTCATAAATTATTAATATCATATTTATAGCGCAATAATAGCATACTCTTCACTGTTGAGAAGTGCTGGGGCTGTTTTGTGATATGAAAGTGTTATTAATTCCTGGATGAATAAGATGTTGATGGAATAGGTACTTTTGTTAGCTGAACCACCCATGCAGATGGGTATTGAACTCCACCTGTAATCTGAATTTGGCTATTTCTACATATGAACAAAAAACAATGTTTGACTAAACATTTTTTTCCTTCTAAAATTGGAGAAAAAGAAGAAACAATAATGTTTTTTTAAGTATATATATATTTTTTTATCCCAGTTTGTTTAAGATCTGCACATAGAATTTGATATTGTGCTCTTAATGATGCAACGGTGACATTTATGTAGATATTTACATGAACCAGAAATGCTTGTGTGTTTCCACTTTCCGGTTCCTGTGAAGTAACAGTCGTCTTTATTTTGTTCATAGTTCTAATGGAAAGTCTGTGTCATGGTCTGAACCAGGTGCAAGACAACCACCCAAGGGGGAACACATGTGGCACAGACTGTCTGTACATGTGAAGAGACAGGAAACAGGCTCCAATCAGACAGCAGTCATCAAACCCCTAACTAAAGCCTCCCACAACACTGGCCTCAACTTTTCTGACCTCAGCACCAAGACTCTGTACAATGTCGCCGAGGAGGACGAGGGCGACCCCATCCGATACAACCCTCCCAGCAGCCCTCCCATGATGATCGAGAGGCCCCCGTCGGGGCCGACAAAGGAGCCCGAGGGCCTGCAGATGTACATGACGCAGCACCTCCAGAACCTCCTCCCCCAGCAAGTAGATATAGAGCAGCTGCAGGAGATGGTTGACAAATTCAACGCCAACATCCCCGACCTGAGCGACCTGATCAACCTCGAGGGCCCGGAGGACGGGGTGAGGCCCGTTTTCCCGCCGCATGTCGTCCAGCAGCAGGTCCTGTCCCAGCCGATCCCCGTTTTCGGCGATCTGGCCGCGTCTCCCGAGGAAGAGGTGGAGAGCGAGCATTTCAACCTCATTCTCGGCTACATGGGAGACGACGTCACTGTCCACGAGGAAGAGGAAATGGCCCAGGCAAAAAGTGCTATTGAGGAATCCCCGGCCCTCACTCCCCCCACCCCTTTTAAGGATTTAATGGAATCTGGCACCCCCTTCAACAATTCCCCAGTATCAGAGTCAATATTGTGCACACCGCCAAGCGTGACATATGCATCTATCATCCTGAGAGACTATAAGCAGAGCTCATCTACGCTGTGACATTACATGCAAATTGTCCAATCAGTTTTGATTTTGCTATAAAAAAAAAAAGTGCTGGTGGTGAATGGAATGTCTGGGATTGGCTAAGGATTGGGGGAGTCCCGCCCCCTCCCTGTTTCTGATGAATGTTGGCTCAACTTTTGCCACCCGTTTTGAGGAACGCACAAGGTCCCGAATGGACCTATGAGCATCTGTTTGGGAAAGAAGCGGACGATGTTGTATAACTCAACCCATGGATATACTTTGAACTGACTTAAAAAAAAACTAAACTTTCTCTGTTTCTTGAAAGAAAATAATGTGAATTCCAAATGAAATATCTTATGTATTTAATTACAAATGAAGTGTATGTAATTATTTATTTATCTGTAGGGGAAATGTTTATTCGCTCTTTTTAGCCTTGGAATTACATTATAAACTATTGTCACTGCTGGCAATTTTTAACTGCCATAAATGTAAGTTCTCAGTGCCAAGAATAGACAGTTAATGTAATATTACTTTATACATACCACAGGCAGTACTTCGTGGACAGAATAACAAAAAGGTTGCTTTTTTAACAAAAAAAAAATCCCCAACAAAATGGGCCTAAAAGGGAAGTCAAAGGTGTTTTTCAGTGGAGATGAACATCAAGCTTTATAGTACGTTTGTTTTGTGCTTCCTAAATATTCTTCACCAGCTTATGGACATCTGTACATTTTCACAAACTGTGTGCTTTTTTATCAGACATGGGGTTAATACCTCACTTAAAGCTTGTAATACTTTACTAAATATACATTGTTCAATGATTATTAATTTGACTACTCTTTGGCGTTTTCATCCTAACGGTCATGGATCATGAAGGACAGTGTATGGTGGTGTATAAAGAATGCTTCTGAGGTTCTGTGTTGGTGCTTCTCATATATGTGTATATACATGTATATATATATGTATATATACACACACACACACCTCAGAGTAATCTTATGAATTTCTGGGGATTCTTACACTAGCATTATGTAGCCATACGTATTGCTTAAGTAGATGGTATAGAGCTTTTCACAGTAAAAATCCCTTAAACCTAAATAATTCAAAGTTGGTTAAAGGAATATGGTTCATTCAAATCTATAGGTCTAATTTGTTTAGAATTATTTAAGGTGTAGTATGTTTATGGTGCATGTCACTGAACTGTTTTTGATTTTTTTTAAAACACTTCCTGGCACCTGTACGCACGTGTAGATCCCTAAAGTAAAGTGTTACCAAAATAGGGTCTTTTTACCACAGAAGTGTATTGACGATGCTTTGTGAAAATATGGTGCGAGGCAAATGTTTGCTTTTCAAATGAACCTACTGGGCCAACTTTATGAAAGTCTCTGCTTATATGTGTCAACTTGTTGCTTTTAAGCTGGTACATTTAAACTTTCGTAGAACGAGCTTGTATAGTTCATTTAAAATGGTAATTAAGTTTAAGTTGATGCGTTAGCATTTAGAAACATAGTGGCCAAAGTATAAATAAATAAATCTAATGTTGTCACAAATTATTGATATTTATTTAGTCCGTATAATGTAACCTGTTTGAGAACAAACTATTCTTAACATGTTAGGTTATAAAAAAAGTCACCTGTTTGACACCTGTTGAACTGATATGGAAATATATAATGTCAGGATACTTGAAGATGTAAAATAAATATTGTTTAGATACAAAATGATGTCTCCATGTATAAATGCAGTAAAATTAAGCAGTCTTGTTCTGTGGGTGATGCCAAAGCATTCAATGCCAAAAGATCCACGCACACTTTCTGTACATTTCCAAAAATACTTAATTAGCACCTTGCATATTAATTGGGCATACAAGTGACAGTGCATTTAATTAAAATGCCTTCTTTGAGAGTTACTATTTATGCAGCAAAGTAAAACTCTAATTCTAAAAGCCATATTATGTGAAGTATCCCCTACATGAGCAAGAATGTTTCTTCGTTGTTATTTTAATGAAAATTCAACAGGCTTTTAACCGACAAGTATGATGCAAAAACTGAAAATTGGAAATGTGCAAGAAAAACCTACTCATGAATGGCAGCAATCTCTGCCAAGGTCCATCACGTCAAGGCACACAAGAAAACACAGTTTTAACAGCCAAAGGCTCCGATCGCTGGCCTTGAGGCAGGAAGAGAAAAGTTCGGTCGCTAGGGGCGCCAAATTGAAGACTCCGTGATTGCCGTGATGGCGAACGGAATGGCAACGATTTGGCCTGGTGTTTCCGAGCCTCTGGCCAGATTTAGAATGAATTCATTAACTCGTCTGAGTGAGATGCAATGATTACGGTGATGTCATGAATAGGCGCCGCGTGCCTAGGCAACAGTCATCTTAAAAGAATAGCTTTTCCACTCGCTCTTCATAGTGCGGAGTAGGATTGAGGAGGAGGTGGAGATGGTCTGAACCAGGTGCACGGAGGAGGTGGAGAGCCGACCAAGTCATTGCTCCATTTTTTTCAAATTTACTCCCCCCCCCCCCCCAAAGAACATAATAATTATTATTAGTGTCTCCCGTTACGAGGATGTTAGTTTACCAGGAACATGGGATAGTGTTTTCAAAAGAAACAATTGTGGACACAGTGCACTAAAGCGAAGCAGGAAGAAGAACAGACCGTAGATGAAAGAGAAGATTCTGGGCACTTCCTTTAACAACAGATGGAGACAACAAAAAAATTGCATCTACCTGAACGAGGCACAAGCAATTTGTATTAAACTCGGGCTCAGGGTCACAGCAGTGCATCTGCGGCGTTCCGGGAAACGCAAACCTTCCGTCCGCTGCTGCATTTTACCCCCCATCACGTCTTTTCTGTCTATGTCTGTCTCCATGGCAACACACCCACATATAGTGTCTCAGTGAAGTGGGGGGGGAGGGGGGTAGGCTTTTAAAGTTCTTCATAGACTTCCTCATGTACAACTGCTGAGGTGCAGCAATACCATGACTGGGTGTGTAGGGTCTTTCAATGGGGATCTTAATTACAGCTTTAATTAAAATACTTTCTTTCCTTAATTACTTAATATTATCCAACCATCTTCTGTTATTGCCAGGGGCGCTCTAATGCATGGGTTTACCCGGGCAGAAACCCAGGGGCCTTTTCTAAAAAGGGGTCTCAACACGTACAGTAAGTGGATCTAGCTTATGTGGTGCCCTAGATTAGCGCCCCTCGTCCGAGTCAGAATTAAACTGGCTGGCAACTTGGACCTCCCTCAGAATTTGGTGCCCTAGGCGGCCCCCACCGCAGCCTATAGTATTTACTGGCCCTGGCCTCAACTAACCCTGTTTAATAAAATTTAAGCACTCCGCCCAGTTAACAACTACCATGTTAATGTGCCTCTGAGCATGGTGATGTGCCTCTAATTGTTGCTTATCCAGTACTGGGATGGGGTCTATCCCAGTAACCAAAGGGTGCAAGACCCTTGATGGGGTGCCAAAGCGTCATGGTATTTATAAAGGAATATTAAACTCATATCTTTAATCTTGGTTATTTTTATAATTTTCCAGGTCCTCAGCCCTGGTTCTGGCCTACACTCACAGCCAAGCATCACCGGAGGTCATCAGTTAACGGTTTTGGTGTAAACTGGTTGAAACGCTTCATTAAATCATGAGTGTTTTCAAGCAACACTGTGTGAGAGCCAGCAAGCATAATTCCGTTTATATCATCCATCTCCCAGCCACATATCCAATACAAGGTCACAGGTTAAATGAGAGTAATGCTCAGTGTTAGTTCATTTCGTCAGCATAAATCATCTTACAGCACATTGGATGGGGAAGATCTTTGCCGTTTAAAACAATGACCTTTGAACAAATAGGGATTTCCCCTCTGCAAGCGATTCTGTAAATAGATTACCAATATCTAATACGTACTTCAAAATATTTTCACAGAGCCTTTTACAAAGATGCAATGCAAGTTCACGCTTGTCGGAGTCATGGCTTTCGTTTGTTGATGAAATGTTCTTTCTTTTACAGTTTTGGTCAGCTATGTTTATGGTCCCAGAGAAATTGGACCGAAGAAAGCTCAAAAATAAACAGCCACTCTGAAAGAGCAGGAAAATTCGCCTGGATTCTTGTTTTCCATATACAGTATGGTAATCAGATGGATCACTTGGTGTCACAGACCTGTTTGCGACGCATTTGAGGAGATGAAGGTTAAATTTTGGGCCAAGAAAGGTGGAATTAAAAGGAATTATTATTATTATTGGTATTATTATTATTATTATGTAGGAGATTATCAATGCCAGACTGATCAATCACGAGAATTGGAAGAATTTCCAGTACATTACAGTTTCCAGAACATTCGAGTACATTTCCAGTCGCCTGGGGCAGTGAGAGTATCTACTTCTTATATCTTATATCAGCCGTAGCCAACAGCAGCTGTTACTGCTGCCCCGCGATCTTGGGGGGGG